AAAGTAAATAAAAAAATGTATTAAAAAAAATGTATAAAAACAGAAAAGAAAGAAAGTGTAAAAATGATAAAAGAGTGTGGGCAAGTGAAAGATTTAGTTAAAGGCTGAAGTAAAGAGAAATGTTCAAGTTTTCTTTTAAAGATGTTTACTGAACTAGCTTCTCTGATATCTAGCAGGAATCAGTTCCACAACTTTGGAGTGTAATTTTTTAAAGCTGCATCTCCGATTTCCTTTCAGCTGTAGACTTGCTGCAGATGATCTCTGTGTTCTAGAGGGGACATAGTTAACTAAAGAGGCAGCTATGAAACTCGGAGGCCTTATGTTTTTGGGTTGTCCATCCATACCTCCGCTCTTACCACTGTGCTTTTGTTCATCCCAGTCTTGTGAACACAAAGTGTAATGACAACAGTATTGCTTCAATACGTTTTTCAGTTACCTGGCTGACCAGTGCTGGAATGGAGGCTGTGTCTACCTGATCATGCTGCGGAGAGTCAAACGAAAGGCCCCCCTCCCTCCCTGTGATGTGAATGGCATGGTCAGTCCTCCTGTCTGCAGTGACAGGTGTGAAGACCAGCAGCTATCCAGAGCTGCCCCTCAGCTCTCTGACGCACCAGCAAACTGCAAACGCACAAGAAAGTTTGGTGTCATATCACGATCATCCTTTAACCGAGACAACAGGGACAGTACTGGCTCAGAGCTCCAGAGCTGCTACAATGGTTTCAGTTCTTCTGTTCCCGCTGATGCAGAAGTCAGTTCTCCAGGTGAGGATGCAGGTTACATCCTCTCCACACATACACCCACAGAAGAAAGCCCAGACACCCTTCTTCAGGTGAGAGCACTTCCTCAGCATCTGCATAGTGGAAGCACCGCCACCCTGCCAGCGAGGTGTCACAGTCAGCCGTCGAAATGCAAAAAGGATTCGTTCAGCAGTGAATCTTCAAGCCAGGTGAGATTCGCATACAGTGCTCTAATTTAATGGACAATTGCGGGGACAAGTGAGGGGTCTGTGATGGTCTCTCACTTCCATATTTGTTCCAAAGAACCAGGGTTTATTTCTAAATTTACACAAATTATTTAAAAATGTAATTTCTCCATTACATTTTGATGAAGTTTAACAGTAAAATCATTTCAGTAATGTACAGTATTCACAACATTGATAAGAGTTTGCAACATAATGAAAAGTGTATCTATGTTTAAAGTATTTGCAATGCTCTTAGAGTTTACTGTCAAACTCCTCTTACAAATCAGCTCCACTACAGTATTGCTGAAGGACACGTGCTCTAATTAAAACAAAAATAAACAGTGTTCGCTGAATGAGATTAGTTCCATCTCCTCTCTGAGACAAGCTGGACAATGGAGAGCCTTGTGATTTCCTAATGTCAAAGTTCAATCTGATTAAACAAGGAGGAGGGGGTTGGTCAGTTGGCCACTAGAGGTGCCACATAGGAAGTGAATTTCAGTCTGATTGTCCCATATTACTGATCAAGCAGAGCTTGGGACACTGTCTGTACCATTTCCATATAGAGGCACATACTTATTCATTATCACACTGAAATTGTCCTTACATAAGGGTTCATGTGCATCATAGCTCCCAACAATAACAACTATTGTACAAAATTCAGTCTGTCTCCTGCAGCCTTGCACTGAAGAATAGTAGGCTGTGAGTTGTTCTTTATGTAAAATTGATTTTTTTGAAATTGTGTCCTGGAGCTGAAACAATTTACTGTTAGAATCTGAGTTTTGTCTTTTCTCGGACACCACAACCACGGACCCGAACAGAGGAATTAACACTTCGGGACAGGACAACAGCAGGTTACACCTTCATCACACAAGCTTAGACAGAGGAGCTTAAACCCCTCTCTTGAGGACTGAGGGATCAGCCTGTCAGAATAATGTTACAACTTTGTCAAACAAGATTGTAGACTGCAGTGGGTATTGAACCCAAAACAACATTACATCATTCCATTTCATGTGGGACAATACTCTTTTGTGTGGCCTGAAAATGGTTTTCAACATATTTAATTGAGTGTGTACATTTTGCAAAACAGTCTGTGTTAAGAGTTATACTTAAAAAAAAAAGAAAATCATAGAACAGCTGTACAAACCACGAAACCAGGGAATGTTGTGAGATTGCTGGTGCTACAGTAGAATGAAGCAATGACTTGGCTTGGATTGGTATTTTTTATACTCCTCCCCTGCAGTCACCAGCTGTTCACACTGACCATTGTCAACTGAAGTTGAAAACAAAACAAGTGCTTTTATAATCAATTAAAGGCATTCTGATTGAGTTATCAGATATAGTTATATATCTAATGTGATATATGTGCTAAGAACAGTTTAGAACCACACCGCTACACTCACATGGCACAATTGTGTGTTCTAGCATTCATCAACTGCCATCAAATTCCAAATAGGAATACAACCATATGGTACAAAATTAACTAAATGAAAAGTGAAAACATGTAGTAAGAATGTGAATTTTAGAGCATATCCAATCGCACCTGGCAGAACAAAGTGGAGCATGTAACCAATGGTCTCTTGCTCAACAAATTGAGGTCAAGTAGATTGTTGAGCAAGACCACGATCTAGAAATTGAAACTTTGTCTCTTTTTAGCTCAACATCTGGCTGCAGCATACACTGATTTAGTTGGACCATTGAGAAGGCCAGTGTCTCACCATCTGAATCTGACAGAGAGATGTATTTGTTCAGGATGAGAAAGTCAGTGACGTTGGTGTCGTACAACATCTTTGCAGGACCAAAGTAGAATTATTTTTCGATTTTTTTAGAATTATCTTAAAAACATTGATTATATTCAAAATACAGAGGTCGAGACCTCGCTGACCTGGTGGTGGTGGTTACAGTCATCGAAGGAAGACAAGATGAACAGCGATCGAGAGAAGGCATTTTTGGCTAGCAAGAACGTAGCTGAGTACTGAGAACTGGTTAACAGTATACAGTCTCCCCTCATTCAAACAAAAAAATCAGACCCTAACCCAAAGCAAGTTTTCTCTGCATATCTCCACTACACATGCTGCAACAACAAGAACCCATAGATACCTTCAGATGAATACATCCTTGGTTTAGAAGAAGAACCCTGACTCTTTTTTGATTTATTATTGAATGTCATTCAAAACTGCTTAGTGGAGTCACTGCTAACAGTGTCCACCAGACAAGAACCTGGGACAGCTGTTTGAACACATTTGTGGACCGTGGTCATCTACAGGACTACATGAAAGAGTTATTAGTTTTGGTTATACTTTGTCAAGCTTGCAGGAGACTGCAACACAGTCAGTGTAGTGGATAAGTAACACATTAATGGATCCAAAACGACCTGTTCCAGTAGAGACGACAGATCTGTGTACAGATGTCTGAGAGGATAAAAAGGATCCTAGCCCTGCAACAACTGGTGTGATGGAAGAGAGAGTGATGGGACAGTGATTTAACATGTGGGTTAGAGGATTGAGAATGACAGCTGGTGTATCATCCCAACACATCCCCAAGCCTAATTGTTCATCATTACAGGCTTTCTTTCGTTAAAATGGTGACTCACTGACTCGCGGACACACCAGCACACACACAATATTATTACTATTATTATATTATAATTATTTTTATTTTTTATTATTATCATCATCAGTATTCTCCTGATTATGATCTTTTCTCAATGTGGATCACATAATTATGTTTATATGGAGCATAAACAACCTGGTTATCTACAGGACACAATACAATAGTGGCAGACTGTGTGTGCAGTCTAAGGATCAAACTGTTTTGGTTAATCTGTTAGTTCTCATCTCACATTTTCATGAAATTAATTTGTTTGAATTGTTGTTTTCAACTTCATGTTGTATAATGTATTGTTTGATGTGTGTTTATTTGTACTCTTTTACAGCCCAGAGAGGGCAGCAACATCTGGAAGATGCATATGGTGAAAGGTCAGGAGGGCCTGGGCATACAGATAACAGGGGGGCGGGGCTCCAAGCGCTCTCCTCATGGCATCATTATAGCTCATATAGAGGAGGGGGGTGCCATTCACAGGTATTGTGACTTTTCTTTAGTAGTGTGTGTGTGTGTGTGTGTGTGTGCGTGTGTGCGTGTGTGTGTGCGTGCGTGCGTGCGTGCCTTTCTGCATTCCCCAGTGAGTTTTACAGTATATGAGCTCCCTCTAGTAAAATAATTACCTGTTTATCGATTACTTAAAGTTAATGTCTAAATGTTTGAATAAGTGCTATGATCAAAATTCAAAAGTTATTTTTTCAAACTTTTCTTAGCACAAATACTCTCTTAGGGAAATACTCAGTTCTGTACCCATACACTTAAAGGTCCAGGTTGTAAGATTCAGGTGAAAGGGAACTATTGGCAGATATTTAATGTAAAATAATCCTCATGATGTTTTCTCGAGTTTGTTCATCTGAATTGTATGAATTGTAGTTTTCTTTACACCTTAGACTGGATCCAGACTGGACAAACTAAACACCTTTTGAGTTTTTATGACAATTAAAGGCTACCACAGTTTCTTTTTCATGTTTGGAAGGAGAGGGTGAGATGTGGGGTGTTTAGCTGCAACATAATACACGTAATTTAAACACTAGATATCACAAAATTCTAGAATTGTAGAATTTTGTGATATCTAGTGTTGAAATTGCATGTGGCAGCTGAACACCCCTCATCTCACCCTCCCCTTCCAAACATGAACCTGTGGTGAACTTCAGTTGTCATGAAAACTCAAAAGGTTTTAGTTTGTCTAGTTTGGATGACAGTAAAAAACATGGTGGCCTTCACAGAGAGGACCCCCCTCCATGTACATATAAAGTATTTTAATATGAATCGTGTGTGTGTGTTTGTACAGTGCAGCATATGTTAGTCTGTTTAAATGTGTGTCTGTTTCAGGGACGGGCGTCTTCATGCTGGTGATGAGCTGCTGATGATAAATGGTGAGTCTCTGTTAGGTCTCACTCATCAGGAGGCTGTTGCTATTCTCCGCTCTACTACTGGTCTGGTCCAACTGGTGGTGGCCAACAGGGTAAGCGCGCACACACACACACACACACACACACACATACAGCTGCCACAGGACCAACAACAATGGACAAAACACAAGTGAGAAACTAGAATAGTCATTAGACAATTAGAGGAAAAAGGAAGCAGAGTGACCTCCTGCCGATTTTTTCCTGTTTTATGAAAACCATTATGTGGGTCTATGGAATGGAAGAGCTTTCAGGTAAAGGACAGTTTCTCCTAAGGTGATAATATCTCTTACAAGATATACAAATGTTCTTTCCTTGTCCTGTTGGAAATTGCCAATATTCAACTATAAATGTATATTTTTACCATTCACATATACTACACATCACGTTCTACTCCTTTGATTTAAATAATACACTTACTTATAATCTCTCTCTGCTTTACTTCTGTCCCTGCAGGAGGAGTCAGAAGTGGGTTTTGAGCGCTTCCCTTCTACCAGTCTGCCAGACCTGGTCAGCACCTGCAGTTCCTCGTCCTCCCTGTCTCACACTGCTGTCCCTCGTTCACCGCAGACTTCCAACAGCAGCACGAGTCTGCACAACCCCTTCCTGGTATAGACAGATGTGATCTAGTACATGTTTCTGTATCTGTGGGTGAATGTCAGGAGTGTGTCGTTGTTGCACGTAAATCGATCCAGCTGACGAAAACCCATCCCACAAAGCAGAAGTAGTGAGCACCAGGGGGTATTTAGTGTAATGTGGTCAAAGGTTGTGATGACAGCAGGACAGGTCTTCCTCTCCTCTCACTATTTCAACTCTTCATGAGCCAGATGGGATGCATAATCCCTCAAGTGTGTTCTGGGCCTGCCCTACTTAATCCAGATGGAGGCGTAATCCAGATGCATTTTTATCACAGGACTGAACCATCTCAACAGACTCCTTTCAGTACAATTGAGAAGCAAAGAACTGTTTATCTGGAAACAGCACAGGGCTCATGTACCAAGGTCTATACTGTAGGCTATATTCAGAAAGAGGTGCATATCAATTTCATGCTGAAGGAAGAATTGAAAATCTATATATATATATGATTAATTCAATAAATATTGTTAAGTGGCTTAATTATAGTGATATCAAATATCAGACAGTCCATATTTGTTTAACAAGAGATTAACTAAAAACGTCTGTGTCACCTTGCAGTTTTCTAACCTGAAAAAACTCGAAGAACAAAGTCAGGTAGAGGCACCCAAAGGATCCTGCAGCAGCCCTACACCCATGAAGCTCTGCAGTCGATCCCAAGGTTGGTACCTCACAGTGACAGGTTATTGATAAGGCAAGCAGCACTTCCTAAATTTGGTATTTTAATGACCTTATTCACTTCCCTCTAACTTAGATTTTTTTTTTTTAATTTGAAGTCTATTAGAAAAAAAAATCAATGATGTACTGAAATTCCTGCTTCTTTGCGGTGGAATAAAATGATTATTTTTCCTGGATCAGGGGGGAGCAGTCGCCTGGAGTCAGTGGGTGAGGATGATGAGCTGTTTGTGGAGAACGGTGTGAGCGGCTGTGAAGTGGTCGAGAAGCCTCCACCTGGCCGACGTAAACACTCTCTACCTCAACAACTAGATACTGCTGGAGTGAGACAGGTCAGTGAATGCCTCACCTCTATCTTCATTATTATTTAAAATAATTGTGTATATATATATATATATATATATATATATCCACTAAGCTGCAAGCACTTGTGGCTTTTAAAAAGAAAATGAACCCTCACTGATTGGTTTATCACACGTTTTGTGAATCAAGTGACTGGTTGTGCTTAGATTATCAAAAGCTTTTGTTACAAAGCAGTTGCTTACTGTTTCTGTAAAAGATGTTAGTTTAGCAAGACAAACAGCACAACACCGTGACAACAGCTCTGAAACATTTTCACAACTTTGTGCCGCGAAACCATGCTACTCATACATTTCTACCTTATATGTCGAGGACTGATTAATGATTTGTCAGCAAACACATGCAACTCCATCTCATTAGTAAGAGACAGTAAGTAACTCCTCGTGACAGAGCATCAGCCTCCTGATCTGAAATACTAGTGGTGTGAGTATATGTATGTTATGTGCATTGTGGTTGAAGAATAATGTTTGGTACACATGTAGCACACACACACACACACACACACACACACACACACACACACACACACATACACACATACACTAGATCAAAGCCTGGTCACAATCTGTCATGACAACAATGACAAGGAGAGCTGCACTAATCACTGTGTTGGTTAATTGATGAAGGGAAATAAAAAGAAGGGGACAACATTAAGAACCACAGCCTCTTAGCAGCTGTAGGTGTGAAGTCTCTACAAAAAATACACAGAGCCATGTTAAGTCATTAAGCATCAAGAAATAAAATGTTGTTAAGATAAATTTGACTGATTATTTTGCTTTTTATATTCATCACCTTTTCAGGAGTATCAGATAATTAAGAAATCAGCCCGCTCCCTGAGCACTGTTCAAGTGGAGTCTCCATGGCGACTGGCACAGCCATCTATTATCTCCAGCATAGTGCTGATGAAAGGCCAGGGCAAGGTGAGTGCACTCCTTTGACATGTAAGTGAATAAAGCTGTACTCCATGTGTGTGTATGTAAGCTCACACTAACAGACACATCTGTACACATTTGTACAACCACAGTGTGTAATTTCCCAACTATCACTTCAATTATGTTTGATCTTTAATCATACATTTCCTTACCAATAACAACAGTGTTCTGCTGCCATAATTAGCTTCATATTGTCATTGTCACTGTACAAAACTGCTAATATGTTTCTTAGTATCTGTTTTCATAAAGTGGCGGATTTACCATGAAAAACAAAATGTCAAACATGGAACATGAAAGTCTTTATTAATTATTCCAAGTGTTTCTTCGAGGCAGCAGATAATGTGATGTATTATTCAGCAGGACTGCATGAAGTATTTGCTAAAAGTAGAGAGAAGCTATCAAAAAGACCAGGGGTATTATTAATAAAACGTAGGATGCATACTGAAAGTATACATGAGCTGAAAAATGTGAAAACTGTGGACATGCACACCTCAAAACAATGTGCCCATTATAAATGCACCTGGAAACATTCATACATGGATTGGCCTCCTATCCCGCCCTCTACACGCCCACATTCAACCATAAATGGTCAATGCAAAGCACCTCATGAATATTAAATTGTCCTGCTGGCCAATGGGTTTCCATGGTGAGTCACGGCATCAAGCGATGAGAGGAAGAAGCACAACTCTCTGACAGCAACATCGGTGAAGAGTGATTCTATGGGACAGCAGTGATATCAGTAATAAAGAAAATACACTGATACACTGCTGCATAATAACAATACAGTGAGTGAGAGTGAATATGACTGAAAGAACGGAGCCTGAAAAAATACAAACATCTATTTCAGAGGTGGAGGCAAAACTAATAATCGTTTCACACTGTCAGAATGTGAGGGAACTAGTTGTGTCTCCTGAAAATATTTTTATCATCTCAAACTGCAGGATTATTAACTTTAGAGAAAGCTGTGATATCCTCAATCTATAAAATTAAACAGTTATATTCTTAAAATGATTAAAAAAGGCTCTACATAGAAAGGTCAATATTTTACACTGTTAATCATACCACACAGACCTGTCGGCTAATAAACCAAAGTGGTGAGTACCTTTGTTTGTTCTGGGATGGTTTGTTTCAGTCGAGTCAATCTGTGTAATACTGGACTCAATTCAGCACAAAGATCCAAGATCACAGATCTATAGAATCAGCTGATGAATCATCATCATGGGACAGGAAATCTTGTTTCCTCCGGAAGTGCCAGTACATCCATCATGCAGCATTAAGCACGAGTGTCACTGCTGTATTTATATATTTAGAGCAATCGGACCAAATACTTAACACATTAGTGGATCCTAACCTCCACTCTGGGATAGTATTTGGAAAAGATTTAAAGTAAACAGTCTTTCTTTATTTTTTGTGAGTGATCTCCGGTGCGCCTGATGGCAGTCATGTTCACTGCAACGATTTTACACACACTCATCCTTGATGATACACGCACATTGTTCGAAGATATTGAAAGCTATTAAAGACTTTGTCACTCTGCTGTTTAATAGTATCGGAACGTAATTTGCTGTAAGTTGTGTTATATCTTTTTCAATTGCAGGTTCTAATGGAACAGTTTTATAGCATGAGCAAAACTAACACTGTTGCTTTTAAAGTGGATCAATAATCTGCTTCAGTTCACCACCTCACGTCTGCATCATCATTTTCCTGTCTCAAATGTTTGTATGCATCGGTCAGAGTTAGTGTGGAAGTGTGCACAGTCTCACATTCTCCTGTCAAGTTTTTATAAATCATGTTTGCATGAGAAGTGGGGTATGCATCTTTCAGGCCCCGTTTTCTGTGTGTGCAACGGTTATAAATAAGGCCCCAGAGCTCCATATTGCATTCATATTTATAATATATCCCTGTGGTGTCTTAGTTCATATAACGGTAGGTTTAATATTTAACATACTTGCATACTAATTTATGCTGTCTATATAACAATAATAATAACTCTCTGAATCAAAACTCACAGACATGACTGTGGAGGTGAAGGGGCGGAGAGAGCACCTTCACCTGCACCACTGAGGATCAATCAGCACAGGTGAGAGCTGTTAGCTGATTGATCCTCAGACTTTAAAAGGAGGCAGCAGAGCTGCCTCGAGAGGAACACTGAGGACTCCGAGAACACGGGAGAACACTGAGAGAACACTAGAAACGCTCAGGACGCACTAGACTCGGGAGAGAGAAGGACACACACGGGGGTGAAGCTGAAGGTCCAGCAAATAGTGCTGGACCTGTTAAGTTCCATGTTTTGTATGTTCAGTTTGACCTTAAATAAAAGATGCTAAACCCGCAATGGTGGGACTGGTCTGTCTCTGGCTGTCGTGAGGTCCCTGTTCGGGCGCCAGTGTCCCTCCGGTGTGCAACCCAGCCGGTCCAGGATTGCCTTCCTCAGCCGCTGGTAGTCCTGCCGAGAGGAAGCCGGCAGACTGTGGGCGGCCAGCTGCGCCGCACCGGTGAGCAGCGGCAGCAAACGAACCGCCCTCTCCTCCTCCGGCCACCCGCAGGCCTCCGCCGTGCCCTCAAAGAGGTCCAAATACGCCTCGGTGTCGTCCTCCGGTGTCATCCTCTGGAGGGACACCG